GTCGATTCATGTCAATGACACAAGCTAAACTCACATGACATGGTTTCTTTTCTTCTTACACCGATTCACTAAGGAGACTATAATCTTTGGTTAATCTTACGACTTTGATACCCATCAAGCTGAAGATATGATTAATTAGCATTTGGCTTTGACGTTTCTATTGTTGGAAAAATGAGACCATATATATGATGGTTTGTCCGAAGAAAGTCAATGTTAACAATTTAGTAATGTTTGTTTAGTCGCTTTTGTCATATTTTTCTCTGACTAAACGAAAGAAAAGAAGCAAAACACAATTAAGAAAGCCAGTTTCTCCGAAACTTCTTCAACAAAAAGAACAACAAAACCAATTGAATTATCAACAAGTCCATTTTTTTGTTTAGTAGACTACCAAGCACTCTTCAAGTATGTATCTTGTTATACTTCTTTTATTAAAAAAAAATCTCAACAAGGTTCCAAATGCGAGTAGAGGTTCACAAGTGAAAAAAAAAACAGCTAAAAACATGAGACAATCATCCATCAAGAGTTGAGAATATAATGATATCAAACAGTAGCAGCAAGAACATTCAAGATTCTACGACGGATGGGGACTTCAAGCACAACACCACACCACACGACCTTCCCCAAAATATCTTCTTCACTGCTACACCTTTCAAGTATAATCTCCGCACACCATACCCTCGTGCCTTTTGTATCACGCACATACTCGTCCCAAAAAACCAGCATCTTTCCACCATATTAAAACTAGTAATATAAGGAAACTTAAGCCGTCCTTTCAAACCCTTCAATTTTCTCCACTTTCTTACTTTAGTGTCATACCATTTGAACCCTCTTTCGCCATGATAACCGAACAACATGTTATTTATCACGCACGGACACTACAAGAAAACAAATCAATTTCGGACGGAATTTCGGACAGACTATAATCCATTGGAAATTTGCCACCGAATTGCGACATATTTTGGACCGAATTTCGACAGGGAAAAATCTCAGTCCAAAATCGGTTGGAATTTTCCGACAAAACTCATTTCGTCGGAATTCGGTTGAAAAAATCGGTCGAAAATTCGTGGAAAACGCATTCCGTTGGAAATCGGAAAGATTTTTTTCTACGGATTTCCGATGGCTTGCATATTCCGTCGAAAATCCTTGGAAAAATTTCTCTCGGATTTCCTAGAGAACGTGGTTTAGAGTTACAAAAATTAGTCTTAATATATATTCAAAAAAACCAATCCTACAAGATAAGTTTTATATAAAATATAGTTGATCAAATAAAATGATAAGCAACTTGTTTTCATTTTAGAATGTCATAATTTCTACATAAGATTTTTACAACTTCTAGTTTAAGTTATAGTATACATCACTAGAGCTATTTTTATTTTGCATACATGTTTTGTACATTACACATAAATTAGATTTAAACATGTTTTTGTAGGGTGATGATAATATTCTRTCAATATAATGTATTTTGATATTGTTTACATCAATTTTGCATATCCTAATTCCTAGAAAATCTGTGAGAATTTTCCAACCGATTTCCAACGACTTAATAGTTTAAAAAAATATATATAATTGCAGTGGAAAATCCGTCAGAAATTTTCCATGAATTTCCGACCGATTTTGAATTTTGGATTTTGACCGCCAAAATTCGACGGGTTTCCTAGGATTTATGGTTTAGTGATAAAAAAAATCAATGAAAATATCAAAAAACATGTAAACAAACATGGTAAAGTACATATTGGTTCATAATCTATAGTCTAGTTGATTAAAATTTTTGAAATAAAACATTTCATTTTGTAAGATTTTAATTCTCCAAAACCACAAGTATAAGAGGTTCATTATCTATAATATAAGTTATACTATTGTTACAAGAATTATTCAGGGTTCTAAAAATATGATTTGTATATGCGACATATATACAGTAGATGTGTAATTGTGTAAAGAAGCATATATCCAGCGATTATAAACACTACAACTATTTTTTACACATCAATTTGTATCTTAGACCACAATCCGTAGAAAATCCGTTGGAATTTTTTCTATGGATTTTCGACAGACGTTATTTTGTTAAAAATGTATTTAGACAGTAAAAATGTATTAAAACGAAAAATAATAAATTTCGGACGAATTTCCAACGAATTTAATTTCAAGAATAATTTCCGTCCAAAATCCGTCAGAAAATCATTAACCTAGATTTACTTTCTTCTCCTCTTTCTCTCCGCCGAAAACCATCGACTCTTCTCCTCTCGGTCTATTTATCTCCTCTTTTCTCTGCCAAGAATCAAGTCCCCGCCGATGCCGACGAGTCCCTACCGCTGCTCCTCCTTCTCCGTGGCTGGAATCACCGCCGCTTCTTCTCTTCGCTCAACCGAATCCACCGCCACTTCTTCTCTTCTCTCAACCGAGTCATCAAAAGCATGTATGTGTTTTGAATGATTTTGGTTAGATTTTGTTTGGGTTTCTGAACTTTGATAGTTTTAGGAATTTAGAATGATATTAGGGTAGATTTGTGGGAGGAAGGGGCCTATCCGAGAGGGGTTGGTTTGATAAAAGAGCTGTTCTTAGCAATTGTTGACAAATTGATTCAGAATCCAAGGCTCAGTAGACGGACAAGTAGCCGGAGAATTTCCCCATCCTGTAAACACATTATGAATCCATTTTACGGGTTCACATGTACCGGTTGTAAGACACACCTTTACCATGTATATAGAGCTTTCCATCAATCACTACGGTGTCTACATACTCATCTTCATATATCTCCGCACCAGGGCTTGACAAAGACTTCCAAGTTTGAGTTTTTGGATCAAAAACCTCTATCCAACCGGAGAAACTGCGGGTTTCCCGGCCTCCCACTACATATATATATATCTTTCCATCAATGACATTGGCTGATAGGAATCCCCGTTCCACCTGCATCCTTGGGGCCTTGTGCCACGATTGAGACCGGCAATCTAGGACCGAGACGGTAGAGGAAGGCACACCATTGATGATTCCACCAATTACGTAGATGTCAGAACCAACAACGACAAGACTCGATGAGTACGCTTTAGGAGGACACGGAGATGAGATAGGGACCAAAGTATTTCCATTTGGTTTCTTCTTCGTCTTATTCCTTGCGTGATTTCTTGGTGTTGGATTAGGTTTCCGGCAGAGGGTAAACCAGCGAGGGTAAGGGTCTTGAGGGAACTCTCAGCACACATAGAGACAACTCTTGGTGCGGTTTAAGAGTGATCGAGCCTGGT